ATATATATATATATATAAAAATACAAAGAAAATAAAAAAAGAATGTTTTGTACTAATGACAGCACTGTCGTTATCTAGCTTGCCAACGACTAGTTCGGGTGTGGAAGACTCAAATGTAACTAGTCAACATTAGACGTGCAAATATGTGGACACTCTCTGTGAAATGCGTCACAGCAAAGATGAGCGCGGCTTTCTCCAAATATCAAACGTGTGCAGCGACACGTCAGGCACGCAGCTCGCTAGTGTTTGAACTTGTCAAACACTAGCGAGTCAAAAATAAGACGATTTCGGCAAAACAACGTTATTGACTTTGGTCTCTGGCATTAGTACGATGAGATTTGAGAATAAATGTAATCATGATGGTGTTGAAACAATGCATTCCAGTCAGTTTCGTGTGTTCAACTCAAACGGTGTTCAAAACTAACGGTGCGCTTTGTCATATTAGAGAGGTTAAATCATTCATTTTAAGTGTTTTAATCATTACTAGTGTCGCTAGTAGTCGCTATTTTCCCACATTACTCTGATCCTTACTTTACTTTACTTATTCATACAGCATTTTTTTTATAATAAATGTAGCATAAAGTGCTTACCGGTGAGGCCCACTTTTTTCCGGCATGAAAAGCAGCGGTTCTTTTTCTTGTTTTTATCCGAGGTCTGGTCTCCATCTGATGAAGCCTGCGCTGCTTCACCAACAGGTTCTGGTGAAAATAGGACCAGACGATGGCATCAAACATTTGATCCAATTTGTTCCGATGAAATTGAATCAATTGACAGGGCAGCAGGGATTTTTGATCGATGTGAATTGAAAGAAAGGTTAGAACTGCAGACTTGTAAATAATTAAGAGTTAAATCAGTCAACCCATTAGTTTGCCCGGTGACATCATGCTGCTTCAACTAAACAGGAAGTACCGCCTATTACAATGAGTACTGATTTCATGTGACATGCAAACTGATTTAAGGAGATGTAAACCTGTGCTACCGGAAGTACCCTCCTCTTCCCCGTCCTCGGTCTCCGCTCGATCCGAGTCTATGGCCCCCGAATCCTGGGAGATGGTCATGGCCGTCATCTGTTGTGTTACAGGACTGGGAGAGCTTGGACTGGAATCATGATAGGGATGTAGAGAAATTAAAATCCTTAGCTTTCGGTACACAGTTTAAACACTTTTCAGACTCGTGAAAAAAAAAAATCACAGAATAAATGCTGCGCCGTGTCGATCTATGCAACTTTAAATCAGCCTAAATTATGTTTAAAAATACGACCTATAGGCCTTACTGGAATATAGGCCACGTACTGCAAGTGACAAGAAACCAGTGTAGGATGCGCTATTTTAAACAGCACATGCATTAGATGCATGGAAAACAAAGAGAAGTAGAGCAGAGGTACAAAAATACTAATCTTTTTCTTCTTAA